GAATGACAAATTGAAGAGGAATGACGTTGCACTCAAAAAAAAAAAAAAAAAAAAAATCTCAAGCTCTATCCTGAATTACAATTCTGTCAGTGACAGGATAACATACATATGCCAACAAGGAAGACAAGTTAATACTACTATTACTCAAATTTATGCACCAACCACTAAAGCCAAAGATGAGAAAATTGAATTTAAAAAAATTTCTTTTTACCAACTTCTACAGTCTGAAATTGATCAAACATGCAATCAAGATGATTATTACTAGTGATTGGAATGTGAAAGTTGGAAACAAAGAAGAGTCATTGGCAGTTGGAAAATATGGACTTGGTGATAGAAATGATGCCAGAGATCACATGATAGCATTTTGCAAGACCAATGACTTATTCATTACAAATACTATTTTTCAACAATATAAATGGTGGCTATACATGTGGACCTTACCAAATGGAATACACAGGAATCAAATTGACTACATCTGTGGAAAGAGGTGATGGAGAAGCTCAATATCTTCAGCCTAAACAGGGCCAGGGGCTGAGTGTGTAACAGACTATTAATTGCTCATATGCAAGTTCAAGTTGAAGCAGAAGAAAATTAAACAAGTCTGTGGGAGCCAAAATATGACCTTGATTATATCCCACCTAATTTAGAGATCATCTGAGTAGATTTGATGCACTGAACACCACTAATCTAAAACTAGACTGTGGGATGACATCAAGAGCATCATATATGAAGAAAGTAAAAGGTGATTAAAAAGACAGGAAAGGAAGAAAAGACCAAAATGGATGTCAGAAGATACTGAAATTTGCTCTTGAACAGTGAATAGCTAAAGCAAATGGAAGAAATGACAAGATAAAAGATTTCAAAGAGCAGCTCGAGAAGACAAAGTCATTTATTACAATGGAATGTGCAAAGGCCTGGAGTTAGAAAACCAAAAGGGGAGAACACACTCAGCATTTCTCAAGCTGGAAAAATTCAATTTTTGCAATATTGAAAGGTTCTATGGACAAATGATGCATGATGCAGGAAGCATCAAAAGAAGATGGAAGGAATATATAGAGTCACAGTACAGAAAGGAATTGGTTGATGTTCAGCTATTCCAGGAGGTGGTATATCATCAAGAACCAATGGTATTGAAGGAAGAAATTGAAGCTGCATTGAAGGAATGGGTGAAAAACAAGGCTCCAGGAACTGACAGAATACCCATTGAGATGTTTCAACAAACAGGTGCTGCGCTGGAGGCACTTCCTCATCTGTGCCAAGTAATTTGGAAGAAAGCTATTTGGCCAACTGACTGGAAAAGATCCATATTTGTGCCCATTCCAAAGAAAGGTGATCCAACAGAATACAGATATTATTAAACCATATCATTTATATCACACACAAGTAAAATTTTGCTGAAGAAAATTTAAAAAATGTTGCAGCAGAATATTGACAAGGAACTTCCAGAAATTCAAGCCAGATTCAGAAGAGGACATGGAATGAGGGATTTTATTGCTGACATCAGATGGATCTTGGCTGAGAGCAAAGAATACCAGAAAGATGTTTACTTGTGTTTTGTTGACTAACAACTTACGGAAACATTGAGAAGAATGGGACATCCAGAACTCTTAATTGTGCACATGAGGCATATACCCTAAGGCAGTTGTTTGAACACAAGGGGATACTGTGTGTTTTCTAATCAGGAGAGGAGTACATCAAGGCTGTATCCTTTCACCATACTTATTCAGTCAGTATGCTGAGCAAATAATCTGAGAAACTGGACCATATGGAGAAGAATGCAGAGTCAGGACTGGTGGAAGATTCATTAACAATCTGCAACCTACAGATGACACAACATTGTTTAAAAGGGAAGGGACTCAAAGCATTTACTGATGAAGATTAAAGACTACAGCCTTCAATATGGATTACACCTCAACATAAAGAAAACAAAAATTCTCACAACTGCACCAATAAGCAACATCATGATAAACAGAGAAAAGACTCAAGTTGTCAAGGATTTCATTCAACTTGGATCGACAATCAATACCCATAGCAATAGCAGTGAAGATATCAAATGACATATTACTTTGGGCACAGCTGCTACAAAAGACCTTGTTGTAGTCTTTAAAAAAAAGCAAAGTCATCACCTTGAGGACTAAGGTGAACCTGACCCAAGCCATTGTATTTTCAATCACCTCATGTGCATGCAAAAACTAGACAAATGAATGAATAAAGAAGACTGAAGAACTGATGCATCTGAATTAGGATGTTGGTGAAGAATACTGAATATACCATGGACTGGCAGAAGAATGATCAAATCTGTCTTGGAAGAAGTATAGACAGAATGCTCCCTAGAAATGAGGATGCTGAAACTTCCTCTCCTGTACTTTGGACATGCTATCAGGAGGGACCAGTCCCTGAAGAAGAACATCATGCTTGGTAAAATAGAGGGTCAGCAAGAAAGAAGAGTACCTCACGAGATGCAGTGACACAGTGGCTGCAACAAGGGGCTCAAACATGGCAATGATGTGAGGGTGGCCCAGGACCGGGCAGTGTTTCCTTCTGATGTACACAGCATCGCTATGGGTCGAAACAGACTGGAGGGCACCTAACAGCAAGACCTTGTTTTCCTATTTCTTGTTTCTTTTCTGTTTCATTATTAACCCTTCAATAAAGTCTTTTTTTCTTTCTTTCTTCTTCTCCCTTGGTCTTTACTACAGTTACCCTTTAAGTGGTCATGGATTTAAATTGCTGTTAAGGAACAGACATATAATAGTTATTTCAGATCAAGTTTCTGATTTGGTACCATTTGACATGCAGATAAAAGTGTTTTTGATGAAAAAGTATCTCTTTATAACTTTACCAGGCCTATGGGATTTCTGGATGTACCGTATCAGTGGAAGGAGATATCTCATTTGAGTAGATAGTTCTACACATTATTTTAATGGAGTTATTTAAAATGGAGTTCCTCATTAAATTTTTGTCAACTGTTTGATGAATCAATAGAACTGCTAAGATAATTTCCCAGCCAGAAATATATTCCTGCAATTTTTCATTAGCTAAAGTAAGTTTCACGTTTCAAAAATCCCATCTTGAGTTGCTATTAATTTTATTAATATGTAAAGTTTAGTTAAGATTCAACCAGGGCTAAGGGAAGAGCAAAACTCAGAATAGCAGCTACTTAGAATAAGTCTCTTTTTCATCTTTTACCAAAGTTTTGTTACCTTTTCCTGTGTTATGAATAACTAACGTGTCAGCAGTTATGTCTTCCCAAGTGTGGGCGATGCAGTATTTCACTCATCTCTCTCTCTCTTACACACACACACACACACACACACACACACACCCTTCTTTGCCTTTTCCCAAGCAGTTTTTGCGCGCTCGGTTCACCTTTCCAGCTCCCATGGCCGCTGGATCCTCCCCTCTCCTCTCCCAGATACTCACAGAATCTGTGTACTGGGTGGAAGGCTGGGGATACGGTGAATATTCTTGCAGGTGACTCTGAAGTCGTCTTCTTGGTGGCACCCACAAGGCAGAGACGGAGACTCCTTTCCCCCCAGGCTCCCAAGAAAGGCGAGCAGCAGCACTAGCTGTACTAGGGGCTTCTGCACCATTTTCCACGGACCCCCAGGCTACTTCTTCATCCTCGGCTATGGCCTCAATCCCAGCCCAGAGCGCTTCTTGTTCCCCCAGGCGAACAGGGAACTGGAGGGGCAGAGGGAGGAAGCGCTCTGTAGGGGCTGTGACCTCACTGCAAGAGAGGAGGCTGGAGAGGGGGGAGAAGAGGCTTTTAAGTGCTCCGCTTCCCTAGGCAACTCTCGACCCAAACAAGCTACTTGAGCCACGCAGCCCGCGCTGGGTATGTTCCCTGACCCCTAACACTGGTCCTCTTCTTTCCAATCACTAGTCCCTCTCGTCCCACGTGTTCCTTCCAAAGCCTGGTTCCTTCCAAAGTCAGTTCCCTCCAAAGCCTAGTTTAGACTCCCTTTCCTTTCCTTCTCACCAAACCCAAAGACTCACCTTTCCCTGTGGGTAACGCCAAAAGGCGCCGCCTGCCTAGGACCCACCGAAGCGCACGCTCTATCCAGACAGTCTCCGCAGGACTGGGCTCAGAGAGACCGTGGAGCGGCCCATCCCAGGAGGACTGGTGTCCTGCAGAACTACAGCTCCTTACCAAAGACGCCTCTGCTGAGAGCAGCACAGAGCACTGACCAGCACCGGGTGCGCCGAAGCCACGGCGCGACGCCTCAGCGGATCCCCGCGGCTCTCCAACTTCTGCGCTAACCCAGGACCGCTCCTCACAAGCAGTCAACCTCGCACAGAAGTCACCGCTAGGAGTCGCCTGCTGGCGTTAGGCTCACATTGCCTCGGGTGGATACTGGAGGCAGGTCTGGAAATGGGCTGTGGGGCCATCTGCTGTGGAGAAAGGGGAACGACAGAAGTCCCGGTGCCTTGAGGAGCGCTCTGAATCCAGGTTTGCCAAAAAGGCATTTGAAGCCGGCCTGTAAACTCCGGTCTGCCCTGCAATTGTGTTGAGCCAATTTCCCTAGAAGATGGGAAGAGAAGGAATACTCAAGTGGCACACCATCACCTATCCATTATTCCTCTCACAGTAGCCAAAATCATGATCAAAATATAAAGCAGACAGTGCCAATTTCCCTCTTAAGAGCCTTCAATTGCTTCCTATTCCCCTTGAAGTAAACTGTCAATTCCTGACATACTGCAGGACTCCATGTATACTAACTTCTAGAACAAGGGAGGCTAATGTACGGCGATGTTAAATGAGAAGAACAGTTGAGGGGGGGGATTGGCTGGAAAAAACTGTCACTGTTGTTATGTGCCGCCGAGGCAGACCTGACTCATAGCGACCCCTCCTTGGATTTCCGAGCCAGTATCACTACAGAAGTAGATTGTCCAACCTTCTTTCAAGGAGTGGCTGATGGGTTTGAAACGCCAGCCTTCTGGTTAGCAGTCAAGTGCCTTAGGCACTTTGCCACCAGAGCTCCTAAAACTGTCACTGGGGTTATGGAAATGTTCTACATCTTAGTTGGGGTGGGTGGATGTATACATATGTCAAAATTAATTGAACTGTATACTTAAAATATGTATATTTTCATATTCATTGTTAGTTATTGTTAGTTGCCTGGGACTCAGCTCCAACTCATACTATAGCAACCCAACAATACAAGGAAACATTGCCCAGTCCTGAGTCATCTTCATGACCTGTGGCATGTTTGAATCCATTGTTGCTTCCATTGTGTAGTGCTTTCCAACCCACTGGGCTCATTTTCCAGCATTATATAGGACAAGGTATAGTGCCTAAGGCATTTGACTGCTAACCAGAAGGCTGGTGGCTCAAACCCACCAGCCACTCCTCAGAAAGAAGGTTGGGCAGGCTACTTCTGTAGTGATACCACCTCGGAAACCCAAGGAGGGGTTGCTGTGAGTAGGATCCGACTCCACAGCAGTGTGTTTGTTCTTTTCCATTTTTATTCTACTGTGATCCATAGAGTTTTCATTATCTAAATTTTGGAAGTCGGTTGCAAGGTTTTTCTTTTTAATCTGGCTTAGACTGAAAGTTCCACTGAAACCCGTCCACCATGGATGACCTTGCTGGTATGTGAAATACTGGTGGCTTAGCTTCCAGTATCATAGCAACATGTAAGCTACCACTATATGACAAAATGTGACAGACAGGTGTTGGAGGTCAATGCTTATAGTGCTTTTATTCATAATTGCCCCAAACTGGAAACAACTTTAATGTCCCTCAACTAGATAATGATTGAAAACAAGACAAAATGAAACAACCAACCAAACAAAAACTGTGATATAACCATACAATGAACACTGCTCAGTAAAAATGAAGGAACTACTGGTAAACAGATAAATGGTTGCTAAGGCATGGGAATGGCAGTTAGAGTTGATTACAAATGGACATGGGAGAATTTTCTGGGTGATGGAACTATTCTATATCTTGATTATTGTGGTGGTTCTATGAACTGTATTAGTTTGTCAAAACTCACAGAACCATACACTGCTGTTGTTGTTGTTATGTGCTGTCGAGTCACTCATAGCGACCCTATGCACAGCAGAAAAAACCACTGCCCAGTCCTGCGCCAGCTCCATGATTCTGGCTATACTTGACCCATAGCTGCAGGCACTGTGTCAATCCAACTCATTGAGGGCCTTCCCCTCCCTTGTCGACCCTCCACCTTTACCAAGCATGACATCCTTCTCCAGGGACTGGTCCATTCTGACAACATGACCAAAGTACGTGAGATGAAGTCTGGCCATTCTTGCTTCCAAGGAACATTCTGGCTGCACTTCCTCCAGGGCAGGTTTGTTAGTTCTTTTAGCAGTCTATGGTACTTTCAGCATTCTTTGCCAGCACACATCTCAAAAGCATCGATTCTTCTTTGGTCTTCACTCATTGTCCAGCTCTCACATGCATATGAGGCAATTGAAAATATTGTGGCTTGTGTCAGGCACATCTTAGTCTTCAAGGAGATATCTCTGCTCCTCAGCACTTGAAAGAGGTCCCTTCCAGCCAACTTGCCCAGTTCCATACATTGTCTAATGTCCTGACTGCTGCTTCCATTGGTGTCGATTGTAGAACCAAACAATGTGAAGTCTTTGACAACCTCAATCTTTTCTCCATTTACATGATGCTGCTGATATGTCCCGTTGTGAGAATTTTTGTTTTCTTTCTAATGAGATGTAATCCATACTGCAGACTGTGTTCTTCAATCTTCATCAGTAAGTGTTTCAAGTCATCCTCACCTTCAGCAAGCAAAGTTGTGTCGTCAGTGTATCGCAGGTTGTTAATGATCCTTCCTCCAATCCTGATGCCTGTTCTTCTTCATATAGTCCAGCTTCTCAGATTATTTGCTTAGCATACAGATTGAACAAGTATGGTGAAAGGATACAACCTGACACACTCCTTTCTTGATTTTAAACCATGCAGTGTCCCCTTGTTCTGTTCGAATGCCAGCCTCTTGGCCTATGTACAAGTTCCTCATGAGTGCAATTAAGTGTTCTGGAATTCTCATTCTTCTCAATGTTATCCACAATTTATTATGATCCACAAAATCAAATGTTTTGGCATAGTCAATAAAACACAAATAAACATATTTCTGGTATTCTTTGCTTTGAGCCAAGATCCATCTGACATCAGCAATAATATCCCTTGTTCCACGTCCTCTTCTAAATCCAGCCTGCACCTCTGGAATTTCTCTGTTAATATACGCTGCAACCATTTTTGAATTCTCTTCAGCAAGAGTTTACTTGTGTGTGATACTAATGATATTGTTTGATAATTTATGCATTCTGTGGGATCACCCTTCTTTGGAAGGGGTGCAAATATGGATCTCTTCCAATCAGTTGGCTAGGTAGCTGTCTTCCAAGTCTCTTGGCAAAACCAAGTGAGTGCCTCCAGTGGGGCATCCATTGTTGAAACATCTCAATGGGTATTCCTTTAATTCCTGAAGCCTTGTTCTTCACCAATTCCTTCAGTGCAGCTTTAACTTCTTCCTTCAATACCATTGGTTCTTGATCATATGCCACCTCCTGAAATGGATGAAGATCTATCAGTTCTTTTTCGTACAGTGACTCTGTGTATTCCTTCCATCTTCTTTTGATGCTTCCTGCATCACTAATATTTTGCCCTTAGAATCTTTCAGCATTGCAATTCAAGCCTTAAATATTTTCTTCAGCTCTTTCAGCTTGAGGAACACCAAGCATGTTTTTCCCTTTTGGTTTTCTAACTCCAAGTCTTTGCACATTTCATTATAGTCATTGGCTTTGTCTGCTCAAGCTGCTCTTTGAAATCTTCTGTTTGGCTCTTTTATCTTGTCATTTCTTCCATTTGCTTTTGCCACCCTCTGCTCAAGGGCAAGTTTCAGAGTCTCTTCTGACATCTATTTTGGTCTTTTCTTTCTTTCTCATATTTTTAGTGACCTCTTGCTTTCTTCATGAATGATGTTCTTGATGTCATCCCACAATTCTTCTGGTTTTTGGTCATTGGTGTTCAAATCTATTCTTTAGATGGTCTCTAAATTCAGGAGGGATATATTCAAGGTTATATTTTGGCTCTTGTGGACTTGTTTTAATTGTCTTCAACTTCAAGTTGAACTTGCATATGAACAGTTGATAGTCTGTGCCACAATCAGTTCCTGGCCTTGTTTTGGCTGAAGATATTGAGCTTTTCCATTGCCTCTTGCCACAGATGTAGTCAGTCTGATTCCTGTGTAGTCCATCTAGCAAAGTCCATGTGTGTAGCCTCCGTTTGTGTTGGTGAAAAAGGATATTTGCAATGAAAAAATCATTGGTCTTGCAAAATTCTATCACGCAATTTCCAGCATTATTTCTGTCACCAAGGCCACATTTTCCAACTACTGGTGATTCTTCTTTGTTTCTGACTTTTGCATTCCAGTTACCTGTGATAATTAACACATCTTGATTGTATGTTAGGTCAATTTCAGATTGCAAAAGTTGATAAAAATCTTCAATTTCCTCACCTTTGGCTTTGGTGGTTGGTACATAAATTTTAATAAGAGTCATATTAACTGGTCTTCCTTATAGGCAAATGGATATTATCCTATCACTGACAGCATTA